TTGCAACTAACACCGTGAATATATACGATTACTAAATTACCTGTAAGTATAATTTTATTTTTCTTTCCTCTTATAAGCCAAACTTTGGCACAAAAATAAAATATTCATCTTATTCTCATTTATTGGACAGTTAATACACCTAATATATTTTATCAAACATACACCGCCTTGTAGAAGCCTTTATATTCTCTTCATTGTAATCAATTTTATTTTTCAGGTTTACCGGAATAAAGCAGCCTTACCTTTTTTTTTTTTTTTCTTCTTTTTTTAAGATTGTATTTATTTACTCATGAGAGACACACAGAGAGGCAGAGACATAAGCAGAGGAAGAAACAGGCTCTCTCCAGGGAGCCCAATGCTGGAGGACTCAATCCGAGGACCTCATGTTCATGCCCTGAGCCTAAGGCTCAACACTTAGCCACCCAGGCGTCCCAAAGCAGCCTTATCTCTGAAAAGAATGTTAAATTGCACTGTTTAAAATCATTTGAAAATTAGAAATTTTGTTATAATTTTTATAAAAAATATTTCAACCCATATCATCAGTAATAACTTAATTCATGAGAATCACATGGTGAAACAAGATAGCTCATTCAGCTATAGATTCATGAATGACATGGTTCATAGAAATTAACACAACATAAGAGAGCTGTGTCTTTGAGCTAAGAGATTTATGATTTTTTAAAAAAGCTCTATTCTGAACTTATCTGAGCAGATCTATTTTTATTGCTGAAATAGCATGGGATCATATTTACTCTACTTGCACTTGGGTTACTGAAGCATAATTTTAAATATCTTAAACCATTATATACTATGCTAAAATTATGAATGTATTATTTCTCAAGGTTTATATGCTGAAGTAGAAAGGAAATGGCACAGGTTTTCATATATCAATTGCCCATCAATATGATTTAATTCCTCTAAATGATATTTGATTTCAGTTTAATTTTAAGATACTCAATATGTACTATATTCCATATACCGCAATATTTCTTAGAGAAAAGGACAAATAATTTATGGTATTTGCCTCTAAAAAGCTGTTATTCTAAATAAAAGACAGGTGATAGGCAAATTTTTTAATGTAATAAATTACATGGTAACATAGAACCTGTAAGAAGTGCTACCACATGCTAGGGGCTAGGAACTTAATTTTAGGGATTTGGGTCCCTTTCCAGCTGCCTTCCAGAATAAATTGATAACATGTATCTATTGTTTTTTATATTCCATGCACATCTGGCTGTACTGATACTGTCATTTATGTTCCATAATATTTTTTCATCAGACCAGACTGATACAATTATTTGATCTATTCACTGAAGTAACAGACAATAGAACAGATTTCTGTACATTGTAAAGGGAACTATATCCATTAGATCCACTACTAGAACACTATACTTATCGCAGTGCTTAGATAAAGTCAGTGATTGGGAGATACTTTCTGAGTGGATAAAAGTAGGAATGAATCGAAACTATCAAAATAATAATCTTACCCCCAAATCTCACCCTCTTTGGAAAGAGCTTAGAGAATGAAATACTCTTAATATGTAGTGTTTCCTCTTATTTCTTTTGATTGTTAAAAAAAACGACCAAATCTTTAACACTGATATGGGTAGAATTATTATATTAATATATACACTCAAATGATAAAATCACTAAGCAATTATAAGCATAGTAAGAGACAAATGACTTGAAACACTCTTAAATTCTACAGAACCACTGAGGATTTTACTTGCAGCATATGATTTAAAATATTTTAAATATCTCAGAGAACTGAAAACAAAACGACAGTGCACACTGTACACATTTGAGCAAATTTTTTTATAATACCTAGAGCCAAAGACATAATTTAAGAAGGGCAGGAGTCATTCCTGGGGTTAGAAGAAAATGAAGAACCCAAATTTTCTTCCTTGTTTTATTCTTAAAATTTCAGTCAGTAGAATTTTACAGTTCATTGGTTAAAGTTGAATTATAAGAATTATTTTGCTCCAGGCACACTGCCTTTTATTTTATTCCTCCAAGTCTCTTACTTACCCCTACTTATAAACCCTTGGATGTGGTTCTTTCAGAAAATTCTCCCTTGATTCCTTCACTAATTGAACTACACTTTTCCTCTAAATGTCAAGACAAACATAACCAACTAAGGAAAAATTCCCCGATCTACATCAGCTCTCCATGATTTAAACACTCATAACACCATAAAATATTCATAGCTTGCATCATAGTTTCTGAAATATGTATTTATTTGCTTACTCAGGTAATCAGCATCTCTCTTCTACAAGCTTTAAGTAATGTGTGAACAGAGATGATGCAGTAGGCAGAATAATGGCTCAAAAGATGTCCACGTGTTAATCCCTGGAACCTGCTAGTATGTTACATGGTAAAGGGGAATTAAAATTGCAAAGAGAAATCAGCTCACCTTAAAATAGGGAAATTGTTCTAGAATAACAAGGAGTGGAAGTCATGTAATCACAAATGTCCTAAAAAGTGAAAGAAGGGGGTGGGAGAATCAGTATCAAAATGATTCAATGGGGGACACCTGGGTGGCTCAGCAGTTTAGCGCCACCTGCAGCCCAGGGCGTGATCTTGGAGTCCCAGGATGAGTCCCACGTCAGGCTCCCTGCATGGAGCCTGCTTCTCTCTCTGCCCGTGTCTCTGCCTCTCTCTCTGCTGTTTCTCATGAATTGATAAATAAAAGCTTAAAAAAAAAATGATTCAATGGTAGAAAGACTAAACCGAACATTGCTAGTTTGAAGATGCAAGGTAGCAATCAGCCAAGGAATATGGTTAGCTTTTAGAAGGTGGAAATCACAAGAAAATGGGTTTTCCTTTTAGAGCCTCAGAAAAGGAATGCAGCTTGACCAACAACTTGGCTTTAAAACAGTGATAACATGTTAGACTTCTAAACTACAAAAGTATAGATAATAATTTTGCTGTTTTTAGCCACTAAATATGTTATAATTTGTTACAACAGTCATAGAAAGCAAATAGATAGGGCAGCCCTTGTGGCTTAGCGGCCTAGCGGTTTAGCGCCACCTTCAGCCCAGGGTGTGATCCTGGAGCCCCAGGATCGAGTCCTGTGTCGGGCTCCCTGCATGGAGCCCGCTTCTCCCTCTGCCTGTGTCTCTGCCTCTCTCTGTCTCTAATAAATAAATAAAATCTTTAAAAAAAAAACAAACAAATAAATAATCCCAAAACCTAGTGCATGCATGCATGACATATGGCCTCCGATACTATTTGCTTAATAAACAAATAGATAATGAGCTTGAGGGGTGTGCTATATCTATTACATGGTATTAAGGTCTCAATATTTTCTTCTCATTCTATTTTTAAATTAATTGAGTCACAAAACATTAAAAAACCCCACAAAATTCTACAATCAGTATTTTGGGGTTTGAAAATTATAGGTCATGTTCTAAAGCCTATGTATGACAGATGTAAAATGAGAGTCTGCACCACCCACCTTTTCAACAGACTTTGTATGAACTTTTGTTTTGGCTCCCTGAGTGTAGGCAATGAGTTAATGTGAAGGAGATACAGCTGGCCAAGTACTGGAACTTTTTCAGAAGCCAAATGTTATAGAATTTTTGCCTCAAATTAAATGACTCCTATTATTTTGGAGTGACTATATTACAACTTATTTAAGTTGTAAAACTTAAGTTGAGAAAACTTGTGTTTTCTCATTTACAACAATCCTGTGCACCACCTATTTCTAGCCCTATTTTCATGTTATTAATTCAGGCTCAAATATCTAGTAAAGGTTGGTCCTGTTAACAGTTATGAATGAAACGTAGAGGTGGTGGGGGCATCCCACCTCAGTGGAGAGGAGTATTTTATCCCTAACATTTTTTTTAATAGCCTGTGGATGATGATAATTAAAAGCAGACCAACTTTTTGTTGGCTGGACTCTTTTTGGCTTATCTATAGACAATGCTCTCCCTCTCTCTCTCTCTCAACGGCACTATGATGTTGGATGTAAATCCAGGCTCAGTGAATCCAACATCCAGTTTTCTTCAATCATAATAATGTTTTCTTTCTGGAATTAGGTTGCTTGTGTTCAAATTCTTTTCACATTTGAACATTACTTGCCCTTCTCTGCCTCAGTTTCATCATCTATAAAAGGAGGAGAGTAACTATATTTCAAAGGTTGTTGTTGGATTTAATATATAAAAATAAATGCTTAGAATAGCATCTGTCTTAGAAAAGCATTCTGTATATGTTAGCTCTTATAAGAGCTCTGAAAATGTCAATGGAAAATCTTTTCAGGGAGATTATAGTGTGAGGTTGGAAAAAATATTTTGCAAAACTATAAGGTGATTGATGAAATAATCCTATGAACTATGCATAATGATAATTTATCTAAATGACTTCTAAAAAATTAGTTGGATTAGCTAGAAGGTTTTAATTTGCTGACTAGTGTGTTCATATTTTAGAACAAAGCCAACTCATTTGAATCATTATAACTGCATCGAGCTCCATTTGTTGAGCCATGTGACCTGGGTTCAAATTCCAACACTACCACTTACTATGTGTATAACTTTTAGGTAAGTTAATTCACCTTTTGATAACTCTATTATGTCACCTATAAGATAAGAGATAATCATTCTGATCTCACAGGATTAGTGTTAATAAGTTCACACTTGAAATCTGCTTAAAATAATGACTGTCATATAAGTGGCCAATACATATTTTTTATTTATATGTCAGGTAATCTTTCTTTTTTTTTGATTTTGTTATCTATTTAAAATAGTTTTTTATTTTTTAATAATAAATTTATTTTTTATTTGGTGTTCAATTTGCCAACATACAGAATAACACCCAGTGCTCATCCCGTCAAGGTAATCTTTCAAGAATTCTTAATTTTTTTTTTTTACGTTTTTAAGTTAAATTCCAGTTAGTTAACATACAGTGTAATATATTAGTTTCAGGTGTACAATATAGTGACTCAACACTTCTATATATCACTCTGTGCGCATCACACATGTACTCCTTAACCCCATCACCTATAAAAATGATGGTTAGATACCATGAAGTAGGTGGCAATGCCTTAACTATGCATACTGTCAGGTCTAAGGGTATCTTCTATACTTGTAGGGGGAAATGCTAACCTTTCCTTTCAAACAACATGAAATCTTATTTGAACACTAGAGGCATCACTTTCTTTCATAGATTTCTAATGCTTCAAATACCTAAAACAACAACAAAGTAAATAGCATATGCTCTTCAGAGCCAAGGTCACATACCACAAAGCCAGCTGACGTACTTTACATATTCACTAGCCAGCTAAGTTACAAAAGAGAATTTTAAAAGTTTTGTTGTTGAAATTATAAAATTAAAACTATTGCAGTGCAATGTTTGTGAAGCCTTTTGTTTCATGTTCTGCTATACAACAATAACTTTCAGAAAGTGGAATGCTTTTGTTTCCTGTCACACATTCTAAATGGCCTTTAAAAGTCAGTAGCTGCTACTCAAGAATAATGAGGTATATTATTCTCTCAATGCACATGTAAATATCCAATTAACACTAATGGGATTTATGGCATTGAAACCAAAGGGAAATCTACTTCAGTGTCTCAAAATAATCTTTATTTTTGATACCTACCTTTTTTACCATCTAAGTGCAGTCAAGCATAAATAAACAAATTAGTATTAAGCATCAATTTGACACTTCCATTCATGTTGACATTCTGAAATACTGTCTGTAAACAGTAATGTGTTTTAAATCAGAGATGAGGCTTTAGATATCAGTTAAGGATTTATATGTCCCTCCCTCCTCTACCATTAATATTAAAATTATAAAAAAAAAGCACATGCACTCCTAGTATTACTTGAGAAATATAAAAAATGTGAATTCTTCAAATATGTGTGGCAAAATATTTTTTAAGAACAGTATTTTGGAAGATTATCCTTTTTATGCACATATACATCTAGAATCCTAATATCTCTTTGAGACACAGTCATATAGCCCTCTTTAGTAAATATTTCCTTCTTACAATTCTGTAATTTTAGTCCTAATCATATAGTAACTATTCCTAGAAGACAACTTTTAAGTGGAAAAGTGAAATACCATTAAGATACTACTGAATTGAAATAGCATCTTAAAGAATATCCATTTTAAGGTATCATGAAAGAGATATGTCAGCACACCTAAAATAATTATTTTTATTGGCCTAAGTGCAGAATGACCTCCGGGGACTCCAGTCATATATCTTTGGTGGAATTTGAATCTTTAAGATGATTCCATAGACATTAGATTACACAGTGAAAGTGTAAATCCCTGTGTAGAAAGAACAAATAAGCTCTTAATAAAATTCAATAAAAAATAATAAAAGGTATGATAATATACATAAAGTATATGTTGATGTAGCCAAAACCTATTAATTTTCTATGGCATTATTTATGCCTAAAGGCCTGAATGAACAGATCTTGTAGAAAAACTATTTAAAGTAACTGTAGCAAGTAAATAGCTTACCAAAACATAGGAAAAATATATTTCCTGACTAATAAAATGGAACATTCTCCTCTAAAAATCTTGGGTTATAAAGTAAAATGGCCTTCAAACTGAGATAATTATCTAACATCCACTTATCTAGAATGTAATCACATCTAAACAAGGGTTATCATTCTTTCCTAGGTAAAGAGAAGTTGACATTCTAAGAAGCTAACCTATTAAAACAATAGGTAAATTTTATTTTACATGCCCATTCATCTAAGAAAAATTTATTGACTTCTTAGAGTTTAGGTCTGGAAGAGTGTCCAAACCACAGCAGGGACTTGACAAATATTTTTGTAATGAATAAATTAATTAACTAAATCTTCAGATATCCTATTTGTAACATTTTAAATGTATTTAAGTCTCTCCTATACTATGACTCTCAGTGCCAGGCTTTAAGATCAAGATATACTAGTTGATTTTATAAAGCTCAAAGTGTGATTGGATATTTTGGGGTGTCTAGGTGGCTCAGTCAGTTACGCATCCAACTCTTGATTTTGACTCAGGTCATGGTCTCACAGTCCTGAGATTGAGCCCTACCTTGGGCTCCAGGCTGGGTGAGGATTCTGGTTAAGATTCTTTCTCTCCCTCTGTCCCTCCCTCTCTATCATCATCATCATCATCATCAAAAAAAGACATGACTGGATATAGAGGAAAAAGCAAATGATTACGATTTAATATAATAAGTATGATGCATAATATGATAAACAATACTTGAATGGATTGCCATTCCATAACATTACATGCATACAAAAAGTCTATTTTTGAAGAAAATATTAAGATTTATTTTAAAACCTATTTTTACATGATTACTTTGTTAATTCATCCTTATATACTATACCCTATCAGATTATGTCAATGAATATATTTTTAGGAAGTCTGATGATACAAAGAATACCAGAAAATGGTTAATAATATTTTTGTATTATTTTTGATTAATTGAGAAGTAAAAAATGTTACCTACAGTGCTTCAAAAGTTACACAAGTAAAATTGTATGTATTTGTTCAACCTAATGATTATCTTATCATGAAATTAGCAACTTAAACTCATCTCACTGATACTTTCAGTTTTATCATGAAGAATGTTGGTTAGACATAGTTTAGGGGAGTATAAGAATATTTTTGCTTTTTTGTGTGATCATATTCACAACAACTGAGATTTTATTTATATGTGACCAGTAGAAGAAATTGTTTCCCATTGATTTATAACCATATGGATTGTCAGCTTCTTGTCTTCTAACATAACTATGCAACTAATTCTGACTGATACCCTATTACCTATGCAAGGTAGTTTCACTCCATGTGGTAGGCCACCAGGGTCCACTGGACCCAATTTTAGTTTTTGAGTTTCTTGTTTGAAAAGTTCTAACTCTTCATAAGAGCTGATCTTTTGTGACATTTTATTTTTTTCTTAGCTGTCCTCTAAAGAAGAGAAATTTATTATTTTTTTAATTGAATAAAACTTATCCTATCTCACAATTAAAATATACACTCACTGAATCTTTTTATAAATCTAACACATATACATTGGATCTTAGTGACCTTATATAGTTTACCCATGGCTTTGCACTGGGCAGGTCCATTTATACACAGATTATTTTTTTAATAAATATAGTATAGTACTATAAATGCATTTTTCTTCCTCATGATTTTAATATTTTCTTTTTAGCTTGCTTTAAGAATATAGTATATAAAAAAGAATATAGTATATAATAAACATACAAAACATGTTAATTAATTATGTTATCAGTAAGGCTTCTAGTTAACAGAAGACTATTAGCAGCCAAGTGTTTTGTTTATTTTGTTTGGTTTGGTTTGGTTTGGTTTAGAAGCCAAGGTTTTGAGAGTCAAAAGTTACACACACATTTTTGGTTGCACAGGGTGTCAGCACTACCAAACTCCCTGCTGTCCAAGGGCCAACTGTATTTCTCATACACTGAAATATTGTTATTTAATTTTCTTAAGAATTACCTAACCATTGCTCATTTATTATTCCCAAGTATGCTAAAATAAGTCTAAAACAAAAAGAAAATGAAAGAGAATGATGGAATCACCTAGAAAGATGGTACAATAAGAAACTGACCATCCTTCAGCTTTCTTAGTGTATTGCCAAAATTATTACATCGCTTTCCAAGAATGTATTCTGCCTTTAGATTTCACTGTGTAAGTTGAGAATTCAGAATGTTTCAATTTATCCTGTAGGGATGCCTGAATAGCTCAGTCAGTTAAGCATCTGGCTCTTGATTTTGGCTCAGGTCATGATCTCAGGATTCTGAGACTGTGCCCTGTGTTGGTCTCCCCACTCAGCAGCGAGTCTAGTCTGCTTATCTACCTCTCCCTCTGCCTCTACCCACCCCTAGAAAAAAAATCTTTTTTTTTTTTTAATGGAGAATGAGCCCCGAGAGTGCAAGCAGGGGGAGCAGGAGAGGGAGAAGCAGGCTCCCCCCTGAGCAGACAGCCTGATGAAAGACTCAACCCCAGGACCCTGACATCATGATCCAGGCTGAAGACAGACGCTTAGCCAACTGAGCCACCCAGGTGCCCCAAAAAGAGACTGCCTTAATTTATCCTTTTAATAGCAAAGAGAAAAAAAAAACTGAAATAAGACATTTTATAATTCTTATATGAATCAAAATGAATGCAAAATTATTCAAAACAGCTGTTGACATTAATCATAATAGTGAAATTGATCATATAATGCTGTAAATCAAAATCATATAATCTAAGGACAAAAAGAAAATCTGTAAACCTTACAGTGAATAACTAAGGACAAAAAGAAAATGTGCTATTTACTTCCAGTTAGACATTCAATGGGAAGAACTTCATCATGGCCAAGGACCATTCCATTTTCTCAAAAGAATGTGTGACAATATTCATTCATTTATATTTTTCCTGGTATGCTGAGGGTTAAATGACCACTATAATATCCCAGAAAACCATAGATGAAATGCCCAGTATGGGATATTTCAGAGATGCTTTTTAAAAATTTCAGAATGTTTTATGTAGTTTATAGGCATTCAGACTCATAAACATCCACAAAGTCACAAAGTCACAAAAACTCTCAGAAGTTCCTCAGAAGCTTCTTAATAGGCTTAGTATATAAATGATTATGTACCTAAAAATATATCCTTATTTTTATGTATTTATTCCTGTATTTGTTTTGTTTTTAGACAGGGAGGGACAGAGCGGCACAGGGAGCCGGAGACAGAAAATCTTAAGCAGGCTCCATGCCCAGTGCTGAGCCCGACTCAGGGCTAGATCTCACAACCCTGAAATGATGACATGAGCCAAAATCAAGAGTCAGATGCTTAACTGACTGAGCCATCCAGGCACCCCAATACCCTTCTTTTTTAAAAGGAAAATAGATACTTGATACATCTTTTTAAAATGAATGCAAATTTTATTATATGGTTTGTTCTTAAACAAATAATTTAAGAAAACTTTAAGTCTTCTGGTGAAATCTGATTTTTGCCCCACCAATTTTCAAGACAGTCTCAAAAAAGGGGTTCTTCATTGACAATGGATTTCAGTTGTGACCAAAATCAAGCAAAAAGTGGAATGAGATAAAAGATAAATATACTGCGACGGTAAGCTGGGAGGAAATGTGTCCTAGAAAGTTTTAGGAGTTATTATC